AACAGAAAAAATTTAATAAAGGGGTTCTTTGCTAAAATGTTCAGGACTAAAACACCCAGAGAGGGATAGGGAAGCATTCAAAGACTAACAGCAGGAATCCTATACTACCCCTATGAGGGAAGGGAGGGAACATTATGGCTGGTACCACCACACGAAAACTGGAGTCATGGAAGAAAGGCCACAGAAGGGCCACAAAAGAAAGCAGCCAGTGCCCAAACTAGCAATGGGCGAGTGAGTGAGAGGACCGGTAAATAACCCTATGGTTCCTTTCTCTCACTTTCTGGTGTTCGGACACCGCTTTCCATTGGAGTGGTCATGGGAACCTGGGTGATGTAATCCATAGGGGAGGATTCACTCTGGAGAGGTCACAGAAAATATTCAGGTTCTAAGGAGATCATTGGAGAACTAAGAAACCCTTAAGAGACTATGTGAGATGATACTACTACTATATTTAAATGATTCTGATGATTTTTGTTTTGTTTTGCGTTAGTCAAATTCTCTGAAATCAGAATTCATCCTAAAATTTGTAGTGTAGTTTATTTGATCACAGTATTCTTAAGAGTAACGGGCTGGCTTATGGTCCACACTGACTTAAATTCAATAATCTATAGTGTGTTGCCATAAAAGCTAGGAAAGGAGATGGATACGGTAGAAACAGAATTCCACGAATTTACACTAAGTAAGTTTGAAACATTTTAAAACCTCCTTACAGATTTAGAATCTTTTCATGTCTATAGTCTTAAATGAACTATTAACAATTTGTATTAGTGATAAACAGTGATAGAGGTGGGAGTTGAACATTTGCAGTTTTTATGTGAGGAGTAGGAGGCCTTAGCAAAATAACCCTGTAGAAATTAACACTGTGCTGTTTTTAGAGAAAAGAAAAAATCTCTCCTCCCAGGTTGTTCTGTGAAGCATAAAAGCTTTTGTTTGCATTTTAAACAGAAAAAGAAAGTTTTACATATGTATAAAAATAACTGTTGCTGGTCATGTTTCACCATATCTGAAAAGCATATTCTTAAAATGTGTTGGTACTTTCCTGTATTTGAAAGGAAGAAGTAGGTTAACTAATATATATGTGTATAGAGATTTTCCTTGAAGAAGACACTGAGAAATAGACACAGATGCAGATAGTTTATTGAGAGGATGAGCCCATGAAGTTCTAGTGAGAAAATGGGAAATGTGAGACAAGAAAGCAAGAAAAGCCAATGTTAATAAGCAGATTAATGTGATGAGCAATTACAATTCAATAGCACTGGGAACCTTCTCATTGCTCTGTAAGTAAAAACCTCAGAATTGTCCCACTGAAGATGGGAATGGTAAGTTCTTTACACATTGATTTTCATCCCTGATTGATTAAGGGTTGCCCCGCCACCGCCCAGCTCTGTAAATTCCCAGTGCTTCTGAGCTTCCAGGCGGGTGCATAGGGCTGAGGCAGCTCCGTTAGCCCCAGAGAAAGTCCCCAGGCAGCAATGCAGAGGAAGGGAGTGGTCAGTGTGCATATCGACTGACCATCAAGATGTAGCTGGTGGTCCAGGAAAATATGAGAGGTACCTCAGCAGCATCTGCCTCACAGATATATATAGTAAACAGCTGATACTTTCTGCCACCATGAATAATCAAAATTAACCAACTTTCCTGGAGGACAAATACAAGTTTTACTGTGTTTCACTACCTTTATCCTGTGGAAAGTCCCTAATTTTGTTCCCCTGCTCACTAAGTCAAAGTGTAAGACCAATTCAGTTACATTTACTATATTATCTGAGTATACTCTGATATATTTGTGTGTCATTATATCAAGATTAATGTTCCTGTTAATCACTACTGAGTCCATTATGCCTGCAAATCATTTCTTTGTGATTTTCTGTTTGTTTGTTTTTCTCTGCACTTTGGCTACCAGTTAGAAAAAAATATAATATTGAATAAAGGTATCATGTTATCTTTCTTCTTACCCTTAAACAAGGGTAAGAGATGGGATCTTATTGAAAAAAAAAGAAAATCTGCCATTCGAAGCTGTAAATAAGTATTAGGAAGGATTTAGATTTATGATCAGTCTCATTCTTTTGGAAAATGTAGTATAGTCTGTTCTTGGTGTAAAAACAATTATTGATATCAATTATTGATACAAATTACCTTCAGGTTTAAGGGTTTGTTGTAATACTTTGCATGAAAAATAATGCTTCACTATGATATCTGAAAGAACACCTTATAGTACATGTACAGAAATTAATATGGCTCTATTTTTTGTATAATGCTATCATTTACTTTATTTTGCTAGATTAGAAATTTACATTTTAAATAATTTATTTGCAGAACTTAATTGCAAATCAAAACTTTTGAGGAATGGAAACTTTGTATTTCTATATTTCAGGTTCATTATTTATTATTTCATTTCAGTCTGTTAAAATTGGCCAAACAATGACAATAACCATCCTGAAATGGGTGGAATAATGATTTTAATTTGATTTAGTTCATGTGAATAAAAGTAAGTGCATTGCAAGGCCAGAAGGCTCCTCTTGAGAATTCACAGAGCACTATTGTTGGGTCCATACTTCACATGTTACTCGAGGACAAGCTTGTATTTTCTAGGATAAGGGAAAAGAAAACATGACTATGAAAAGGTGTTCTATCAACTTCTGTAGTTTGATTCAACACAGTTTCATACAAAAAAGATTAGTAGAAGGCAGCAGAAATACCAATTACCATCTTCATGGCTCTGACAATTTACCTAACCTTGCTGAGGCTCAATGTGATTATCAGTAAAATAAGAATAATAAAGCTAACTTCATGCAGTTTTATGAATTTTAAATAAAGTAATGCATGTTAAATACTTAGCAACATATCTGGTACATGGAAAGTCTTGCCCTGGCTGGCATAGCTCAGTGGATTGAGCGCGGGCTGCGAACCAAAGTGTCACAGGTTCGATTCCCAGTCAGGGCACATGCCTGGGTTGCAGGCCACGGCCCCCAGCAACTGCACATTGATGTTTCTCATTCTCTCTTTCTCCCTCCCTTCCCTCTCTAAAAATAAATAAATAAAATCTTTAAAAAAGAAAGTCTTAGTAAATAATAATTGAGAAAATTTAAGTTTAAAAGACCCAAGTAATTTAATTTAAAGAGAAGGAAGGGATGACATTTAACAACAATCTTCAGGTTTTTAAAAACCATCAAATAGCAATTATGGACTAAGTATTAGGTTTTTAAAATTTTTCAAACAATGATTTTTGACTAAGTATAAGCCAACACAAATTTAAAAGGAAAACAATTTAAACATAAAAAATAGCCATAATGTATCGAGGTAATGAGTAATTTTTCTCAGGAAGTTTTGAAAAATAGGTTATGTGATTGAGTCTAAAATTGATTTCCTATCATTGTCCTTCTACAATGCTGTGAAGCCCAACTATACAACACGGAAATATTCATGCTGCACTTTAAAATACCTTATAGCTTAGCCATACTTTTATTGATTTAAATTTTAGAGTCCAGAAGTAAGTTCTATAAATTCATCATAGATGACCATACTCTAAGAATGTGTCATATCATCTTTAACCTCTTTTCTCTTGAGAGGAAATCAGATTCCCAATAAGCTGTCACATACTTTGCATATTTGAGATTAATTTATAGGGTGCTTAATATTGGCTACATTTAGCCCATATCAGTACAAAGAATCTCTGTGAATCTTCTCAATAATGTTATTGTGTCCCTTGCTAGTAGGCTAAAGGTACAGTCTGTGGAGTCAGACTGCCTGCATCAAAATCCTAATTCCAACAGCAATTTAATTTTCCCATCTGTAAAATGTGACTAACATCACTGCCTTAATGGCAGTAGTTTTGAAAATTAAGTGAATAACATATGTAAAACATGAAGAGTCCTAGCTTATGTTAAGCACTTGGTAATTTAAAACATTATTAGTTTAGTTTTTACTGTAATTGTTTTGTAACTATGCAACAGTTACTCTAGCTAGTTATAATATAAAGAAACTCTTCCTCTACTATTCCTCAAACATTAAAATACTGAATTATGACACTATGTCTGAGTTTGTTCAGCAAGAATTTATTTAGTATTCAGGCTGACTGAGATAGTACATAGAGAATAACAACTATATTGGTGATTCATACACAACTAGAGTACGTTTCTCATGTGTTTTCTGCCAGATTTTTTTCTCATTCTGTATATGTAAATATATTTGTCGAATATCTCTTCAAGAAATGATGCTAAGCATGAGTTGAAATAGAAAGCCTCCGTCTTCAGAGATACTTTTATGTAGTGAGGAAGCCCGACTGCGTTGGTGACTCCAGTGTTTTCCTCACTACTAGCTCTAGGATTTCTGGGTGGGAGCTCAGTTTAGGGTTAGTACTTCCCCACCAGAACCTTCCATTTATGTTTTCAGAAGCAACTTTTTAGTTTATGACATGAAGGAATGCTGCTTTATTTGTATTTTGCTACTGAATTTCTTTTTTTAGTTTTTATTTTGTAGGTTTTCTGGGCATGGAAATTCTAATCTGTCTTTATGTACCCATCTTGACTTGGAAAAAAGATTTTGAAATTCTCTTATATAAATCTCTCATTTCTTCTCAGAATAATCCAGTTCATTGGATAGGGCTTTTTTCTTTATAAACTATCATTTAGTTAAAAAAAACAACAGTGGCTCAGAGGAGTTAAATACCATAATCTAGGTAAAACTGTGTTCACTGGCAGAACCATGCCTAGTAGCTCAGTGCCCCTAATCCCAAAGAATGTTCTTACCATTCTACCTCCAGGCCTCTCACTTCTGCTGAGCATCCTGGATTCACAGTTGTACATGAAGTGTGTTGCAGCTGAGGGATCAGTTTAATCCCATATGATTATGATGGGGATAATATGAATTTTATTATTAGTCTCTTATATAAGCAAATTAATACATTCCCTAAGCAGCACATTAATTTTTTTCAGAAATAACAATATAACCTTCTGTTAGCATTTTAAATATAAGAAAATAAAGATATATTTTATTTTTTCCAGAAAATACAAAAGACATCATAATTATCTATGAAGAAGACGCTGAGGAATGGGCTCTGTACTTGAGGGAAGTTTTCTCACACATCATGAAAAGGGAAGCAATCCGGCTACATCACCTGGAGGATTACCCTCTTCGGGATTTGGAACTGCTGAATGTAAACTCTTATAAATGCAAACTTTTGATATTATCAAGTAGCCTGCTTGAAGACCTAACTCCAAATAAATGTCAATTTCTGGAAAAGGTGCTTCATTCACCAGAAAGTGTAGTTATCCTCCTGTGTGGGGTAATGAGTTCAGATCGATTCTACAAATTATTAAACATCTCTGAAAGCAAATGGGAGATCTCAACTGAGCAGGGACCTGAAGATTACATCTCTGTAATTGAGAGCGTCCTATTCACAGGTAGTGTTGCAAATCTTCTCTATCTATTTATTTTTATTTTTTGTTTTTTCTTATAATTAAAAACACTATAGTTTTTTGAAGAATGGATATCTGATGTTAGGATAAAAACAGAAAAATAAAAGCAAATTTATTTAACAATATGCTGCACTTTCCTGAAAATGCATAAATGTTCTTAATTTTTAGCTATATTCCAGTAAAGACATCGGTTGCTCAAAAAATGGTTTATAAATATTTCTTAGGGCAGCTTATATGAAATCACACTTGGCCAAACAAAAATGTTAGGCTATGCTGCTATATAGGAGTTTGGTTCTGGAAGCTGTTTTCTTACTTAACTTGAGATAATACTATCTGCTGTGATGCTGTTACCACTCAGTAGCTGTCCAATGTCTCAGGGTCTGGGTTAAAATTACAAAGCTTTTGTTGGATTGATAATTGTATGATATCTATTACTGGTATGAAGTACTGCTATTTTTACTAATTTTCAATAACAAAGATAGTTTTAATTGTATATCCATCGTGTTAAAGAGCAGCACATAAGGGTTCCTTCATTAATTAATTACAGTACTATGTAATAGTCAAAACTCCAATGCTTACTAACATGAAAGCTCCTTCCTCCCTCCCTGTTCTTTTCTGCTTGAGGCTTGATGTGGAAGAGGTGGGACCAGGCGGAAGCTGTCACATGCCAATAGAAGTCCAAATGGCACAGGGAGAGGTGCTGGACCAGAGAGTCCTGTTGGTCTAGTCTGGGGAAAGAATGGATGGGTTGGAAGGTCAACCCACCAGAAGCATGCAAAAGTTTGGGAAGTTAATTGGTCATTCGGAGAGAGCTACTGGTCCATCCCACACTCAAACTAATATAACGCCAGGGGGACAAAGAAGTTCTCTCTTTTGCAAGGGTGACCCACACTCATCCTGTGCTTTCACTTGTCCTTTTTCCATGACAATGTGATCCTAGCTGCCACATAGCTCATGGCCATGCAACTTCACATGCAGGCTCCAGGGGCAAGCCTGAAATGGATTACAGTTGGAAACACACACTAAGCTAGCCAGATGCTGGAATGGGCTATACATTAACGTGGAGCATGAACTCTGGGCAGTGGCCTTTATCTTGACTCTATTAAAGACAAGAATGGATGTTTCCCATGGTGAGATGGGTGGGATGGGACATTGGGGAACCAGGTGGGGATCCCCATTAATTGTACATCATCAATAAGCCATACCACAGATCCACATCCTCCTGTGCATGTCTCAGGAAAATCTTTTCCTTTATTTTTTAAAAATATTTTGCTGTTTACGCTATTACAGTTTTCCCAATTTTTCCCCCCTTGTCCCCTTCCACCCAGTCCACCCCCCACTATCATAGTCAATCCCCACACCATTGTCCATGTTCATGGGCCTTCCATACAGGTTCTTTGACTAATCCCTTCACCTTTTTTCAATCAGTTTCCACCTCCCTCTCCCCTCTTACAGCTGTCAGCCTGCTCCATGATTCTTTGCCTCTGGTTCTATTTTGTTCATTAGTTTATTTTGTTAATTAGATTCCTCTTATAAATGAGATCATATGGTATTTGTCTTTTACAGACTAGCTAATTCACTTAGCATAATAGTCTCCAATTTCATCTATGCTGTCACAAAAGGTAGGAATTCCTATTCCATTTTGTAAATGTACCAGTTTTTTTATCTACTTATCTACTGATGGGCACTTAGGCTGTATGCAAATCTTGGATATTGTAAATAGCACTGCTATGAACATAAGGTACATAAATCCTTTTGAACTGGTGTTTCAAGATTCTTCAAGTATATTCCCAGCAGTGGAATCGCTGGTTCAAAAGGCAGTTCCGTTTTTAGTTCACTGAAGAAATTCCATACTATTTTCCACAGTGGTTGCACCAGTCTGCAATCCCACCAACAGTGCACTAGGGTTCCCTTTTATCTACACCCTCACCAGCACTTGTTGTCTGTTTATTTACCAGTGATAACCATTCTGAATGGTGTGAGTATCTCATGTGGTTTTAATTTGCATCTCTCTGATGGCTAGTGATGATGAGCATTGTTTTCATATGTCTGTGGGTCATCTGTATGTCCTCCTTTGAGAAGTGTCTGTTCAGGTTCTGGCATAAGAACAGACACATAGATCAATGTAACAGAATAGAGAGCCTAGAAATAAACCTGTCTTTTTTAAAAAAGTTATTATATTGTTGTTCAATGACAGTTGTCTGCATTTATCCCCCACCACTGCCCCCCCAACCCCCAACCATCCCCACTTCCCTCCCCTACTTCCACCCGCCTTTGGTTTTGCCCATGTGTCCTTTATAGTTGTTCCTGAAAACCCTTCCCCCATTATCCCCTCCCACCTACCCTCTGGTTACTGTGTGATTGTTTTTAATCTCAATGTCTCTGGTTATATTTAATTAATTGACCATAAAGACACAGGTTTAAGAGAAATAAACACGTGTCTTTATGGTCAATTAATTTTTGATAAATAAGGCAAGAGCATACAATGGAATAAAGACAGTCTCTTCAATAAATGGTATTGGGAGAACTGGACTGGCATGTGCAAAAAAATGAAACTAGACCATGATCTTACACCATGCACCAGAATAAACTCAAAATGGATAAAAGGCTTAAGTATAAGTTGTGACACCATAAAAATCCTAGAGAAGAACATAGGCAGTAAAATTTCAGATATCTTGCATAGCGATATTTTTGCCATTATATCCCTTAGGGCAAGGAAAACAAAGGAAAAACTAAACAAATGGGACTACATGAAATTAAACAATTTCTGCACAGCTAAAGAAACCATCACCAAAATGAAAAGGGAACCAACTGCATGAGAGAAAATGTTTGCCAAGGATACATCAGAGAAGGGTTTAATCTCCAAAATACATAAAGAGTTTATATGACTCAACACCAGGAAGACAAACAATCCAATTTTTAAAAATGGGGTAATTCTTTTCCTTTAGATACCGTAAGATCCCCACTCCCCCCAGCAACAAATGGCATTCTGCTGTAGCAAAACCATTCATTTGTCTCTTGCCCTGACAAACTGCACATGCAAGCCACTGCCAGTGTAGCCACCACATCCTGCACTCGGGGCAGCCCTGCAGGCACACCTCTTGTCTTTAATCATTTTCAAACAAGGGTCTAGCATGGGTCTTGGTGTTCTGTACATCCAGAGAACACATACAATCCCAAACAATTTGCATCTTCAACTTCAGTACTTTTAAAGCCTTGTTTCAGTTATGCATTGTTGTCTAACAAGTTACCCTAAAATTTAGCAACTTAAAAAAACAAACATTGGTTCTATCACAGTTTGTGTGGCTGAGGAATCTAGGAGCAGCTTCTCGGGGAGGTTCTGGATCGGAGCATCTCGTGGGGTCTCAGTCAAGCCGTGAAGAGCTACGATCGTTCACAAGCCTCCACTCTCCACTAGGAGAGGATTTGCTTCCAAAAGGGCCTTACAATGTTGGCAAGTTTGTTACTGATTTTTGAGACATCTCTTGGTTGGATGTCACCTCTCAGAGATTCCGGAGGAAGGGCCCTTGGCAGCAGTGTTTCTGAAATCTTCCATGTTCAAAAGTGTTTGTGTGTTGCCTTGTGCTTGAAGTACAGTTTCACTGAGAACAATGTTGCTCTCTTTTCTACTAGAACTGTAGTATTTAGGGAGACCCTATTTGCCTGGCTAATTAAAGAATCCTTCATTTGTGTTTTAAGCCCAGTGACTTCACTAGAATGTTATTTTACTGCTGACTGTTCTGGACTATTTTGCCCAGAGACATGACTATTTTTTCATAAGTTCCCTTCCCCCTCCTCAAGATGTAGATTCAAGTCTTCTTTTATTCAGGATGTATAGCTTTCAATACTTGCTCTTTCTTCTAATGACTTTGTTATTCAGGATTACTTTTGTATGTAGGTTGGATTTATTTTGTTTGTGATATATTCAACAATTCCTCTCTCATTCATTTTGATTCCTTGATATCCACGGATATCCAGTTTGTAACTATCACTTCACTTTTTGCTGTCTTCTTATTCTGTCCATGCTCTTCCCTCCCTGCCCCCCCCATTTCATGGTACTTCTACTGTTTTCAATTATACCATTTAGTTGAGCATTAAAAGTTTACAGTTCATCTCTTGTTCTTGTCTTGCTAACCTCTCCTTAACCCCTTGTATTCTGCACTATATAATTGCTTCAAAGCAGTAGTTGCTATTTGGTATATTTTAAAAATTCATGGTAAAATGTTTGGTCACATTTTTTTCACTTCTCGATGGCAACATGCTTTTAGTGTGTGTTTCTGTACGCCATTGGTTTTCTTTTTTCTCTCTCTCTTTATCTTGTAGTATCTTTGTATAGATCCTGTGGTTGCCCAGTTTTTCTTCTGTACCACTGAACAAAGTGAAGTTTTATTTTATTTTTTTTTTTGGTCTAGCCAATGATAATAGGCAATGTGGGTTTTTTTGTTGTGTGTTCTGTTCCGTTTCTTTTCCCCCACAATGAAAGACTTGACTTCTCTGTTTCCACAGATATAGATTGCTTTCTGCAAATGTGTCTTTTTTGTACAGTTCCTCATTTAGCCCTACTTTCTCTGCTTTTTGCAACCATATTGCTTTCACAAATGCTTCTGTCTGAAACTGCTGCATCATGTCTACAATATAAAAATGTATGGCTCCTAACCTTAGAAGAAGGTGTATTTGTTAGTTCTTCTTGAAAAGGAGGGAAAGTTTACAGGAATGTGTATGAAAGACACATGGACAAAACCAAAGGCGGGTAGGATCAAGGGTGGGAGGTGGGGATGGCTGGGATGGGGGGGAGTAGTGGGGAGGAAATGAAGACAGCTGTACTTGAACAACAATACAAAAATTAAAATAAAAGAAATCCACAGTTTCTAGATTAATTCTTCAAGGTTTCTTTTCTTTGTATCCTCCGGCACACCCTTTGCACACCATCACTGATTTTGAAACCATTCCACAGTCTGGCCATCTAGAATTTTGCTGTTTTCTAT